TGCAGCACCTTCCTAACTGGTCCGTGTTTTTAGATTCTGGCTCCAATTCTAATCTGTTTTCCACATTCAAGCCAAAAAGCAAATTTCAAAGCATAAATGCAGTCAGGTCACAACACTTACTAGAGACACTCAATTCACATAATGACAAGACACCTCTATTCAGGGGACTTTTGAGGGTCCCTAGTATGTTAAGAGCCTCACCTTGTGCCCTGTTCCCTGAACCTCCTGCCTGTCCCTTGCATTCTCTTCCTCATTTCCTCAAATGCACCTTGAGCCCCTGTGTGTGCTCTGTCCTCTGCCTGAAGTGCTTCTCCCACCGCAGCCCCTTTCACCTCTTCAATACCATCCTTCTGTACATCCCAGTTTAAGTGACTCTCCCATACCAAAGTCTTTCTATCTCTGAAATAAATTAATGCCCCCAACAGGAAGCTTCCTAACACCATTTCCCTTTTTTGGAAAATGAGATTTGACAAGAGTTTGTGTAGTTCTTTCATGAATTCCTGTCTCGCCCTGGCCATACCATTGGCTTAGTGAAGGCAGGAACCAGGTTAGATTCTGCTGACCACTCTAGGTCCAGAGCTCAGAACAATATCTGGTATGTGCTAGGTGTTCAAGCAGTAGTTGAAATGTAGGCTTTTGAAATGCCACTTTATGAACCTCTATACGACTTAAATTCTATTTGTTATAGAAATGGTTTTGAAATATATAACATTTGCTTTGCAAAGTGCTTGGAAGGAAACAAAACACCAGATCCAATATGCATATTTCATGTGGTTACACACAGAACATTACTGGAAAACCTGTTTCACTATTTATTACCTATGATGCTTGGGCAAGACACTTCATTTTCTAGATTCTTAGTTTTCTAACTCTATAATTAGGGTTAAGAATGACTATAAATAGTATTATTAAAAAATTAGTTGTAAATGGACACACACACACACCCAAAGCAGTATTTGAGTCAATGGAGCAACAAAAGCCTTCCCTGGGGAGTCTGAAAAAGACAAGCCCTTTTCAAAAGTCTAAAATAGGAAAATAGTGTTGAATGAGCTGAGACTATAAGTTTGGTTCAACAGGGGAAAAAATGCCAGCCAAAGTCTCCAAACTCCTCTCTGTCTGATCCTGGGGGAACAGATTAGCTCTAGCTAAGAAGTTTTAGTTGATGGGAGAGATGTTTCCAGCTTATATTAAGTAGCCAGCTCCCTTCTCAAATAATAAGTCAACTGCAGAAGCAGCTGCTAACACACAGAATCTCAGGTTTGTAGAGTACCTTCCCACCTCATATTCCAAAGCAAGTCAGCAGGGACAATTCCCTTCTATGGAAGGAGGATGAACAGGGAGAACTGAGACAGTCCAGTTCTTTCCTTCTGAGAAACCTCAAGTCTGGACCCCAGTCTAGTGACTTGGAACACTCAGGCTCTGGCTGTTATTTCCACATGGGACTCAGAACAGCCTTTATGTATGTCACCCTCAGGCGGAGGTGGGGTACCATTGGTATCAACCCAAAACATCATCCCTGCTCCTCCAGCCCCAACTTCCTGATAAGTTCTATAATTAGCCAATATTTGGACTCCTAATTTTAAAAAAGAAACTCAAGGAAAGAGAATATATCAGATTAGTTTGCCAGATTTGTTTCAGATGTTATTATTTTGATAGGATCCAGAAAAAGAGAATTTGAAGGAAAGGGAAACCTAATAGTGTGAATGTTGGCTGCAGGTGAGGGAAAGGCAGGAGGCAGAGAGAGACAAACTTCACATACTTTACAAATTGGTCCTTTCATTTATCAAATTTAGAAAATCAGCGTGATTTTTTTAAGATTGAAGATTCAAGGAGTAATTATTATTTTTGAGATTCTTGCGACATAGCCTCAATTATTTTAGTGCAGTAATCCTGTTGCACTTGGACTTCATTGTCAGTGAAAA